TCTCTTATAAAATAATTATCGTTCTTTAATGTTACATTTTTAATGTTTTCGAAACAGTTGAAGACACAAGGTATAGGACATTGACAGGAAATATGTCTACTATTTGTATAAAAATCCAAAAATTGAATTGAATAATACAGACTGTGTTGTATTTAAAATAAGAAAGTTGGTATTGGCCACTGCTACATGACACACCCTGTACAACAAAATTTTATTGAAAAAAATGTGCAACTAAAAATACCAATCCACGTGTCCGAGCGTTTTTTGGAGTAGGTCTCCATTTATGTATTATCGAATTAACGGTTAGGGAAAAAATTACAAAGGTAGTCATGCGTAACGCGTCGCTAAGAGAAATTTCTTCTTGATAAGGATTTTTCCTTATTGATAAAGATTAATACGGTCGAAAAAGGAAAAATCAGAGCACAACATCCATATAAAGTTAAACGTTGGTCTTGCTGATTTTAAACTGGTTTACCCCTCGGACTGTATATATTACTCTTAAACACATCATTAAAGTGGGTTCTCAAAAGGAAAAAACTAAAATTAAAAGCCAAAATTGCATTTATCCCAGGCAAAATTGAAATTCGGTTAGGGTTTCCAACGAGGCTACGTTACAGCGGTGGTTGGTCCAAGCGACTAGACCCGCAGACCACTCCACAGCGTTCAGCTCAACATCCCATCTCGAAATCTGAAAACGTGCCTACAGCCCGGCCTAATTACGTTATCCTTTGCCTAATTATTTAGCCGTACTTCATATCCCCTCGATTATTTCGCAGACAACGGACAACTTTGCACATTCTAACTGTATTGTGAAAAGTTAAGTGAAGAAATTCGTTTATGAAAGGACTGGGTAAAAAGGAAAATTACCACCTAAAAATAAAAAATCCATCTGTACATTCTATTTTTATGTAATTATAACACACTTCAACACGATTTTCCTCCCATGAAAAATTTTAACAGATGCGTTACTTAAGCCTATTTTTCTAAAATATTTTAAACAAAAAGCCATTTCCGGTTTGAATAGAAGTGACATCAACTTTGTTTGTCCATATATTTTTACATTTTTAAATTCTACATACAATTCTGAGGAAAATTACTATACCATGTCCTATACCTAAAGTGAATAGTTTTTAAGTTAGTAATTTTTTCTTTAAACGCTTTAAAAATTTCAAATTAATATATCTTATGGGGAACGGCAATGTATGTATTAGGGTGCTTCAAAAAATTTTAATTCAATGGGAAACTAAAATAAAAATAGCGACCTCTTAGAGTTGAGCTGGAACGCCCATATTTGGTGAGGATTTTTTTTATATTAAATAAAAACATTTGAGAGTCAGTCACGTTCGAGAGCTCGTCAAAGTTAGTCGCATCTTGCATCTTGCCGTCGCGCTCTTGAAACTTACAAACAGCAATGCTCGCGACTCGCGTGCGGGTGAGCTCTTGAAACGTAAAAGTTTAAAGTTGAAACCAACAATAATTAAAAAAAAAAGGGGTGCGAACTGATAAGTGAAACAAACATTTTCATGGAGTGCAAGCTAAAATGGTGTAACGGTCATTGAGGAGTGGAGTGTTGAGTGATATGAATGACTTGGGTGCCACCTGTCATTGGAGGCTTTTCACTGGACGGACGGGGGAGGTCGGAGAAGAGGGGAGGTGGCCATCCGCAAGGGGAAAAATCTGATAAGTTTTACTTTAAGAGTATGCATGACCTGATACAAATCTGCAATATAAATACATATATATAGATCCCAGCAAGCATTTTCCGTTATTTGTCACCATTAACATTGCCCGTATTCATTTCATTAAACATAACATTTATTTTACTTGAAAATGTTAAAATGACTTTAAAATATGATTATGTTAAGAACATATTTTACTCTTTAAACAATTGTTTTGTTTTTAATTACTATCATTGCAAAATCGTATTAAAAAGTGTTAAAAATTCTTACACGGGCAATGTTAGTGGTGATAGGTATCGTTAAAGTGTTTATTGGGATATCTTTAAAACCTAAGAAGGGCACGCAGCGTGGGGCAATAAGTCTGTCAACAGCAAATGCGTAAGGCGGTCCCAATCGAGCCGGAAAATAAACACTGGACTGACAGAGTAAACTAACATTGAACAAAATTCTAACACATTAAAAAAAGGGCCTAATAGCCAAACTCGAGTTTGTAAACATTAGACAACAGAATAATCGCGCTTGTGATTTGTTTGACTAGTGAATAAATGCAATGCTTTGGAATTTGATAAACAAAGACGGAACTCTACCACAAAACGTGCTTGGGACAAAAATTATTAAAAACAACTGACACACTTTACCAAGGACAGGAACTATCTGACCAGGACACGGACAATGACAATAACGAACAAGACAAAGACATCGACTAGGAAACTACACCCCTGCAGCGAAATAACAACTCCCCAACTCCAAATAGTGATCCCAAATGTTTGGAGTAATACTAATCGACTGGTCTAGGGGGATTCCGCGTCGTACTTAGTTTTAAGTCGGCGTAATTGTCCCCCAAAAACCAACTCCCTCCCGTCCCTCATCCATACCCCACCGAGCGTATAGCATAGGCTCGGCGAACCCGGGAATGGCTATTATAACTATTCGCCTCTCGCTCTCGAGCCCCAAATAGGGGACAGTACGTAACGCAATGGACATTCGCACCCAGCAAACACGGGTGAAGCCGTGCAGTTGCTGGGGAAGAACAAAAATCGGCGTAAGTAAACATAGGCCTGTACGGGGTTCGAGAGTCAAGAGGAAATGGGGCTGGTTATACGTCTCTTATACTCATACTCATACTCATAAAAACATTTGAGAGGGTAAGAGCGAAAAAAAATTTTTTTTGAAGCACCCTAGTATGTATATCTATACAAAAAAAGTTTATATACAAAAGTGCTCTTTTAGTTCCACCCTTACTTCTTAAGAAGTCCCATAAGCCAACTGAATGGCTTGTGCGGGTAAGGGGTAGGAACGGACCGCGGGCTTAAAGTCCCCTCCGAAGGACTATTACACAATAGAACAACACAAATAAACAGCCATACCCCTGGTGGGATTCGAACCCACGACCTCCGGCTTGTAGTCAGCAGCACTAACTACTAGACCACCATCGGTATGTACATTGCCGTTCCCCAGAAACTTTCAATGGACCACGAATCCGTTATTTTGTAAATTTTCAACACCCTGTATGTAATTAAAATAATTTTAATATGTATACATGGTTGTAATGATTGTCCATTAATACATTTTTTTAAAACTATACAGTCTAGCTGTTATCGAAGATAAAATTTTATTGGATCGCACTTAAAAAAATTACATGATCTGAAAACACGCCGAGGCACGGGTATCATTTGTTTAAAAAAAAATCAAATTTGTCGCACTGTGTGATTATTACCAAAGTCAAAATATAAAAAATAAATATAAGAAATGAAAATTCGAAATATTCATAAACTAATTTATTTAATAATTGAGTATGATGATATGGTTGCATTTTGATTTTATTTTTAATATACGAGGTGTGTTCAGAAAATAACGGGAATTTTTAAATTTCGCGGGTTTGGAGAGTCCGGTTGTCATAAAATTGTCTTTATTATGTTGGTATACATACCCCTGAAAAATGATAAAATTTTTTAATGTTTTCATTGTTTACTTTGTCTGGCGCAGCCGCTAAGGTTAGACGTGTTTTTATGAGCTCGGCGATTTTCGTTCGTTAAAAGAAATGGATCAAAGAACTTGTATCAAATTTTGGGTAAAAAATGAAATAAAGTGTGTGAAATGTTAAGAAAGGCCTATGGTGAGTCTGCTATGAGTAAAACAAGAGTTTATAAGTGATATATGAGTTTCCAAGATGGCCGTAAAGATGTTGAAGATGACGAAGCACATTAACAACCGATAAAAACATGTAAAAAGTGAAAGAAATGGTTATGAACGATCACCGAATCACAATCAGAGAAGTCGCTGATGATGTTGGCATATCGATGAAATTTTTTCGAATGTTTTGGGTATAAAATGCGTGGCAGCAAAATTTGTTCCAAAATTGTTGAATTTTAAACACAATTTTTTGCCAAAAAGAATACTGTAATGATGCCCCAGCCTACATATTCGCCAGACATGGCTCCGTCTGCCTTTTTCCTATTCCCTAAAATAAAGAGAACCTTAAAGGGCCGTCTTTTTGCAAGCATAAATGACATTAAATGCGCATCGCTGAAAGAACTAAAGACTATCCCAAAGATCGTGTTTGAGAAGAGTTTAGACTCTAAACTCTTCTAAACTTTAGAGGATTAGAAGAAGCGCTGACACAAGTGCATAATATTTGATGGGGACTATTTTGAAGGTGACAACTTAAATAAGTATAGACGAATAAATAAATACTTTTTTCAAAAAACGAAAATTCCCGTTATTTTCTTAACTCACCTCGTAGAGCGTCAAAACTTAAGCCCAAAGATAGTATTGCTTTGGAATCTAAATGTCAAATCTTGATAATACATGACCTTTAGGCCAATTCACTAACATGAGTCGGTTATCGGGCAATCCGGTCAATCAGGCCGTTTAAATATAATAATAACCACTGATTCTAGTGGCTAACGTTAACAACTTATGTTAGTGAATTGGCCTGATTGTGTTCAGTAGATTGTGTCAAATAAATATTGACAGGTACACAATTCAACAGCTCTTTGAAATTATTTGTATTGACCATCAAAATGCGTGTTCGGTCTATCTATTGTTTACTTAGTAAGTTAGAACAAACTGGTTATATTACAGATAGGTCAACATTTGTTCATAACCAAATAACGCGACGAATTTTGGCTTTCAAATGGTCCAACGTCCTTAGTTTATTGTAGTAATCTAGGTACATCACATATCCCCACAGAAAACACTAATAGATGTGATATTACAAGGTTGGGGTGCCCAAATCAATATTGCTGCTGTAAGAAAAGTGTAAGAGATGATCCAAACCTCTCTATTTTACATCGTTCTGAAGAACTTGGCCTTTCTCAGACGACTACGTGGAAAATTTGCGAAAAGGCTTTTGACTTAAGGGTTTTGACTCAAGAATTGAAGCCAAATGATCATTTGCGTCGAAATTTTGCGAACTGCTCTCTTCAGCAGTTGGAAGACTTTAAACGAAACAATGAACAGTGCTTCCAAGTGGTCCAACGTCCGTGGATTATTGGGGTGGACTAGCTACATCACATATACCCACAGAAAACCTATGGGTGTGATATCACAAGATCGTGGTGGCAAATCTCAAGTCTAGTACCCGAAATTATATGCCTATCAAATGGGTATTCTAAAATAAATTGATTTTGACACGCTTTGTGGCATTCCATTGGGGAACAAAAAAGTCAATCTAAAGAAAAAAGTGCTCTTTTAGTTCTTGCCTTACTTACTAAGAAGTCCCAGAAGCCCACTGAATGAACTGTGCGGGTTAGGGGTAGAAAGGGACCGCGGGCTTAAAGTTCTAACCTTTTGGCCCGCATTATCATCAAACAATTTTTTATGTAACTTTTATTTGTTTTATATATTTTTAAAGTTATGTATCTAAAAGAAAGCTAAACATGATTTATTAAAAAAGAAATTATCACAAAAGTAATCAAATAACTAAAATGGAAAGTACTAAACTTAAATAGTAAAAAATCTTTTATAAACTGTAATTTTTATTTATTAAAATTGGCACACACTGCATAACTCGCAGTATAAGCTTACATAGTTAGGTAGCGGAAAAATCGTTGAAATAAAGTCATTTGGTGCAAAATCCGTTGATTAATAGCTCACACTATTCCGGATAATCTATTGAAGTTTCGATGGATTTGACGTTAATCGTGTCATACGCTTCATCAGATTTAAAGAAATCCATTCATTCGAATGGATTTTGTACTTTTTGGCTGCTTTAGGGCCTCAATCAGAAATAATTTGGTGTATCATTTGTTTAAAATAATCTAGTCTTCAAGATTTTTAATGCGCCTCAGAAATGCTCCATCAAGTCGGATTTTTAAACTTCCAGCCTTAAAGCTATATTTCTTCACAATAGTTATTAGTTTATTTGAAAGCACGATTGCATTAAATTTGAAAAAAGTGAGGTTAAACCCGTCTGACAGGTGTCTGATTGGTAAAAAGTGAGGTTAAACCACTTGACAGTTTTTAGATAAAATGTCAAAAAAAAATTTATTTCTTATATAAAATATGTGACTGTCTGAACCTATATCCAATAAAATGTCTTAAAACCCAAGTTAGTTTTTTAAAGAAAAAAAGTATTTTTTGCTGCTTTGTCTAGACAGTGCAGTACACTTGACTATGACTAGCCCGAAAGCTGACTAAAGTCAGCTTTTTAGTCACGGACTAAAGTCCGTGACTAAAATGCCATAAAGTCAGAGCTTGTCAATGTGGGAATAGATATAGTTATTGTCCTAACAATTGCGCAATGCTATATTTTTTGCACGCTACTGCACGTACGACGCAATGCGGAGTTCTGACAAGCAGAAGGTGCGGAAAAATTACTTTTCGGATGTGGTAGGAACGTTTTTACACTGTTATGTATTATTATATTTTCCTACTCCTATTGCATATTATTGACATTATTTGTGTTTTCCGTAACCAATATAAACGCCTCGCCTAGCAACGGGAATAGTGAACTCATTATTCACGTTGTTAGGCATCAGTGATTGGCTGATTCAATATTCACCTTCATTTGATGTTTAAAATCGGGAGAAAGTGAGGATATTAATAAAAAATACTTAATTGGAGTAGAAAAAGCATATATAGAAATAATGCGCATTATTTACTCGTATGATTTACGTCCCTTGCCTGACGGCTCGAGACGCAAACCTCATTATTGTGAATACTATTCTACAACCAATCTCGCAATTTTCTTTATTACTTTCCATTTTTAACATTTTTTAGATGCGTGCGGAAAGTTGCTAATTATTTTAGCAATATTTTTTGTTTTTAATTAAAAAACTATTATGGCTTTATGATTTATTAATCTTATTCCTGTATAAAACATTTCCGTACACAAAGTAAGCGTGCGGAAAAGTACATTGGGTATTAGTATTTACTAGTATTACTTTGATGCTGTCAAAATAATGCGGGACATTTTGTGGGAATTTACCTCAATTACAAGAATTCTACAAAATTAAGTAACGTCTACATTTTTTGTATCATTGTTATTTTTGTAATAAAGCTAAATTCACAAAAAATGTTCCGCATTTTTTTAAAATATTAAAATTGTTTTGTAATAATACTATATTGTACTACTAGTGGGAGAATTCTTTTAAGGCCGTATACGGCAATTCCTCTTGCAGCAATTTTTCTTGCAGAAATTATTCTTGCCATCATCTTGCCGTATTGCATGTTGTTTTACAGTCAGCAATGGCAAGACAACTTGCTGTTTATTACCGTGCTACCAACCGAAGAAAAAAATACGATTTTGTAAACACTTTGTTTATTTGTTATTTAGTAGAGATATTTAAAAATTAATGAGTAAAATGGATACTAGAACTTTGAACAAAATGTCAATCATAAAACAAATAACCTTAAACTGTTTAAGTCAAACAGCGTCTCTTTAGGGAATTTGTAGTAGGGTTGGTAACATAAAAGTTACCAGGTTTCACCCCAGAATTGCCGTGAAACGGCAATAAAAATCCATCCGGACCGATTTTTGGCAATTGCAAGAGATTCGTCGAAATGTCTCAACCGCGCATAGGCATATGCCTATGGCAATTTTCATTGCAATTGCCGAAAGAATTGCCGGCTGTAATACGGCCTTTAGCGTATCGAGTGCGGTAACACGCGAGTGAAATTTCATCTTTTGACCAATAGTCGCACACAATATTTTATTTAACTACCATGGTCCTTATGCATAAGGAATTTAAAGCCAATTTTATTTCATAATTTATCTGAAATCTGATTTCAATTTTAACTTAAAGCTAACTTCAGCTTGTGGGCATATTAGTAAGTCAGCCATTCCACGCTACTCGGGAATTTTTATAGCGTCCGTTACAATCAAAAATTGTGAGTAAAACTACCGTAATTATTATGCTTATAAGTTTAAGCCTAATTATTACAAGCATAATAAACATGTTTGCAATATTAACTATTGTAACAGTATTTAATTTAATTACGGTAGCTTTTAATCACAATTTTTGATTGTAATGGACGCTAATGGCTGAAGTAACGAGAAAAATTACCTCGTGATGTAAATAGGTACATGTATAAAATATTCGTTTTTTTCTAAACCTATCATGAGCAATTATTAGGTCAAATTTATTATTATTTAGGACATCAAAAAAATTTAGGAAAGAGTCAAATATATAATTTAGAAATTATGTAGACATTTCTATAAGAAAAAGTGTATTGTTTTAAATAATGCAAAACTCAACTTTACAAATAAAATTAAATTTTTTGTCTTTTGTATTTTTTATTTTAAGATTATAGATTATCTTTGCTTGTAACTTTTTATGTGTTTACCAATGCTATTGATTGATTGATGAGTAGTAAACAGAAGCCGAACATTAAAAAGTTTATAGAGAATCTTTTAGTAGAGCGCGCAACATGAAATAAGATAAGACTAATAAAAGAAGCAATATAAGTTGAGATATAAATGTTTAGGTTGTTTACCATCTAGCAGGACAAAAACTAGGTCCCATAAAGGATCCATTTCGGGAGAAAAGAAATGAAAGTTCTTATCAACGGATTGATTTATACTAAACCAATCAGGGGACGAGCTAAACTTTATTAAATCCCAAAGAATTCAATCAAATTGTGATGTGGCGAACCTGGCTAAATATTAAAGCTTAGGGACGATTTTATTCTGTCTATCTTTATCATTTATGCATAGGTTTGCTACAAATTCTTACTTTTATTACATAACCACCTATAAATTTTATTAAATAATTAATTGAACACATCATATGATACGTAATAATCGAATTATTTCTATCACACAATCAAACTAAACAGGCAATTTGGTATTCCGAAGGTGTAAATAAGCATTCGCTCCATTTTGATTATGTTTCATTATGGCGCAGTCGGAATGAACAATGAAAAGAAATAGCGAAAACTTAGATTAGCCGGGTGCGGGTTTAATATTCTGCTCGCAGAAGTTGACCCATCCAACCAAATGGCAAGGAGAAAGGTTTTTGAGGCGACTCCGGAGCCTACAGACTTCATATTCAATAATAAAAAGTTTTACAAATTGTTGTAATAGTTTTAAAAAGAAGATTAGGATTCTAAACCTGTTTTCATGTTACTTTTGCATTATGACAGCGGCAAAATCGAAGGATATTGTAAAAAAAAAATTTGACACCAACATTTATTATTGTGGTAAAGCATAGGAATGTCACAAGGCCAAGAAGTGCAAGGCACAATTTTATTTATTAAACGATAAATAAAACGTACAATGAGCTTAAGAAGCATCGCTAGTAGATCCACCACGTGGCCGTTATAATCTTAACCAAACTACAGTTTTTAATAATCAGCTGTTAAACGCGTAGTATTTTTGAAAATAAGGCCAAAAGGTGTTAAAAATATCGAGAAAAAAAAACATGAAACGATTTGTTGTGTTGTTGGGTGTTTTTCGAGGGGAAATCCTGGTTGGTTTTTTACTGGTTTTCCAATAAACAGTGGAAATCTGAATGAAGAAATAAATTACATATAGTCCATGTAAATATAAATTGTACCTATTATATACAATAAATACACATTATAGTAACAATTTAGTAATTTAGTAATTCAGTAAATATCATAAAACAAATAGGTCGTCTAAATTTAGATAGAGTTATGCATTATTAGAAGAGTTGATTAAGAAAGTCTCCTCTTAACAATAAAATACCAAAAACGGGTATTATATTATGTATAACAGGAATATAATATTATGTTGCCATGAATTCGTAGATATATTTTGCCGTTAACTATTTTAAAATGCATGCGTTTTTTTAGGGGACTCAAATTTAAAAATGTTTAATTTAACTTTATGTTAGTACAACAATTATGTTTTATTATTTTTATTATTTTTAAAATAAACGCATTGAGTCAATGTTCACTAATGCATTGACTTTTTTCTTGTTAAGGTAGTTGTCGTGCTATAAGCATACCATCAGAAAATTTTGAATTTTGGTATACTTATTAAGGACATGACAATACATATATCCTTAAAATTTGAAGTCGATTGACCGTCTATAACCCGA